AATTTCCTTAAAAGTATTCTTATTTTATACTTCTAAATAATGGGATGATGTGGCAAGATAATTTGGAGTTTTTATTTATTAAAATATCAATAATGAATTGTTCTATTTTAGGTTAGAACATAATACAAGTTGTTCCTAATACATTTTCTATATTTCTTGTGATTGATGCTTTTGATACCTTATTTAACAGGAAAATATTTTCTAATAGAGGAAATTAAGAAGTATTACAGAAGAGTTGAGGAAACCATGAACAGAGCAACAGAGGTAAATATCTATTATTATTATTATGATTTTCAAACAAGGAAACTCAAACAGTCATTGCAAAGCAACAAAATGTAATGGACTACTGTAATAAAGATCAGTATCATCATCAAATTCCAAAAGCGCTTTTGGATCTCCCTATGGGGTCTGCGAATTGTATTATATGCACACAGGTGTTCAAAATGCTTTTGACTAACAATGCAATCTTATCAAGATGCTGGCACCAGGTTCACTGGTAACAAGGTACCAGCAGAGCTGTAAGTTTATAAACATAAATCATCAGTACTTATCAATCTCAGCATAACACATTAAAAAGGAAGATGTGAGAATTCGGTAATAAGAGAAATCAGTCACTTCTAAGACTTGGTGCCCTGACCAGTGCCTCACAGCCAGGACAGAGTTAAGAAGAACAATGTCGATTAATATATATCATAATATCACTTTAAAAATTTTCATTTCTGGGATGTGAGTTTATACCATGTTGCTCTTTGCCTCTCTATAAATAAGTAACCAACAATCTATCTTACCATTAGCCATTGGTCTAAAATTAATGATGGCTAAGTATCTGAAAATATACCAACTCCCCTAAGCATAGTAATATCGCACTGTCAACTAAAACTAAATATTAACATACCTGGTTTTCTTTGATGCCTAATTACCTTCCACAGAGAATCAGCTGCCTTAAAAGACCAGGTATTTCCCATTCAATACAGGAATTCTGTGATCTGAAAAGAACACTCAGTTTCCCAGTTAAGCACAGTATTCACAGAGTATGGTACTCAAATTATCTAGGTAAGTTATTATCAAAAAAGTTTTACCAGGTGTTCCTGAATAAGGATCACTACTAGGAGTATACCAAGTAGCAATTTCCTGTAAAGAAAACCAAGTAACAATTTAGTTTCAGAATGAAACGAATTGGCTAGAGAAGAAAAGCGGACAGTAACACAGATAATGCATCTATTGTTCTTCACAATATAGCAAAGGAAAAATCACAAGTTACCTACTTCAGAAATAAAGGGGAATGGGCAAAAGACAAAATATTGGCATGCCAGAATTTTTTTTTTAACTTAGAAAATATCTCTATGAGAACAAAGGACACTTAACTACATATTATTAGTATGTACCGAGTTTACCTCAGGATAAATCAAAGTGCAAGAAAATGGCCCAAATGAACTAGCAGACTTCCTGCAACTAACAGACTGCACTCATATTTGATAAGCAATATTTACCTCTATGTAGTTTTACAAAGTTCTTAGTAATCTGATTTATATGGAAACTTCCTCTATGAAAGTATAAGATGATTTGAATATTATTATCAATGCATAATGTGGATGTCAATCAGACGATAAGTTCAATTATTCTTGAATTTGAAATAGAGTTTCATGCTTTGTTCAAATGCAGCTTATTGTTAGGAAATTTCCCTTCTTCAACTCTCCAAGTTGGTAAATAAAATTGGGTAATATTTACATTGAATTTAGTCTCTTTTCATTTAAAGGAATATTCCTATGTCTTGCTATGTTACTTTAAACAATTGTTCTTACACTTTACTATACCCAAATTAAGAAAGCAAAATAAGCTTTGGAAAAAAAAACTTGCCATTTTCATTAACTCATTTAAACTGAAATCGTTTCGAAATACATACTGTAAATATGCTCCTCAGGCATATTGGAGCTACATTCTAGTAAAGTGTTTAGTAGGTGAAAACTGAAATAAATACATTACATTTAAAAGAAACAGAAGACTTGAACTAAGAAACTAAAACCTACATAGTATGCAACAGTTAACAACATGACTTTTTAGTTGTTTTGGCTACCACACACACAAAAAAATCAGTTATAGAAACTACTGTTTATCTTTTAATCACAAACACTGCTCTTAAAACACAACCTATATCCGTGATTTATAACCAGATATGAAAAAAAGACTAGTCTTAGTCTATTTCTTGGGCAAAGAGCCAAAAGAAGACAATGATTATGCTCTCATACATTCTTACACTCTTATCCATTCCAGGGAAGGGGGGGTGGAGTCAGCTCAAAGTCAGATGAGTCAAAATTGGCAATAAACCCCATATGAAGAAAAGAGTGGCACTAAAGTGAAATTTCAAAACATACTGCTTTGTATATACCCAACTGTGATCTTATTTGAAAATGAGTATTTACAAAGATTCTACAAAGCTTAATAACCTAGGCTTTCAATCTTTATCTCCCACAATATTCAGTTGTCAGTAGTTTCAGCTACTACATTGAAATATCTAACGTGATTTTATGTCCTACTTACACCATTCAGTGTTCGTATATAAATTTACAAATATTATAAGTAACATTATGTACAATATTACTTCTAATATTTTCCAGAATAGCAACTTTGAATAAAAACTGGAGCATCTGAGCTTTAAAAACATTTTCTCTTCAATTTCTAAATTCTTTTTAGGAAGTCACTGATGTAGACTGAATTTAAAGTTAAAAAAAAAAGTTAACTTTTAAAAATTGTAACATAAAAGGGATTACTAAAACAGATTTAAGTACATATTGTTCTAGACAAATAATCAAGTAAAACACTGATACTGACAAACACTAAACTTTCCTTTAAACTACAGGAGCTACTATTGTAGGAGCTGCAGCACAGAGCCTTATGACAAAGGCTAAGTGAATAAGATTGTGAGAGTATGGTACAGGATAAAAAAGGAAAAGTGAACTTAGGCCAAGTAATTTTAAAAGTCAATGAGTAAATTATATCAGAAAATTAACTACCACAGCTATAGGAAATCTTTTCCTTTAAGAATGGAAGACAACAAAATAACTCTTACCATAACAATATAGCAGTAGAAATAAAGAATTATTTACATTCTAAGAGATTTTCCTGGGGTGTATGGGGGGGGGTGTCTGTGTGAAAAAGCTTACAAAATTGAAAACATAAAACAAAATGTATTCATATTAAGATTTCATGATAACAGAAAATAATTAAGGAAAGAGTATTTTCCTTGAGGGAAGAATATTTTCCATAAATTGTTAAAAAAGCACCTATGAAACTGTGCTGTCAAGCTATCACAATGGAGGTTTTGGATTCTTTTATCAATTGCAGCATAACAAAAGGCATTTCACAGCATAACTTTAGGGAAAATGTTATCTGGCCTAGAACCACACAGAAAGCAATTAAAAACTCTTTTCAATTGTTTATAATACACTAATTTTTCTGGGTAGCAGCAGTTGCTCCTGTACGTGCCCTTTTAAAAAATATGAAACAGAAGCAATAAAGCAGGGAAAATTTTTGAGAAAGATAAGAATAGCAGCAGTAAACAGAAGAGCAAATACTCAAACACATTAAAGAAAGCTTAAAATAAGGAAAGAGGACTGTGCAACTTTCAATTACACGGAGTAAAGTGCACTGCTTAAATTGTTCACTGATAACATTTTCCCTATTTTGAAAACATGAAATCTATCTACTGGTATTTTTGATATTAAAAAAAAAAAGACATTCACTATTGCAGCCCTGATAACTCTCTTCCAGTATTTTTTAACCATTCAGATGTATTTTGTGGGAATATTTATTCACATGATTTTGCTTAATACATCTCTTTCTATACAAGACTGAATTTAAAAGTCTCTGTAACATTTTCAATTACAGTAATAACACATTAATAAATTAAAAATTAACAAAATCTTCATATTTGCTTTAAAAAATCATTTATCAAATGCTAACCTCCAGATTATCTGGAAAATTAAATATGCAAATTGCTATAAATCTGGCATCCCAATTAAATTCTGATTTTTAAAAGTATATAAAAATGTCCCTCAAATTATTCCAAGTTCCACTCAAGAAAATTTTATTTTACCCTTTTCATAAGTTATTAAGTTTACAACCTGCTAAACATTTTACTCAAATGTGGGAAAACTGCCTGGAGATGCAAAGCACAATAAAATAATTACATGAAAAGAACAAACAAAAATACCCGTTAAAAAAGTTATTATAGCTGGCAGCACTTAAAATTGGTAATTCATAGTTTTTTTAAAGTTGCATAGCTGCAAGATGATTCATTGCTGATTACCTGTTGAGCAGTTTTATTTAAAAGGAAATAATATATTTAATAAACTGCACTTCAGTAGATAATCCTAGATTTAGTTAATTAAAATGTAATTATGTAACTTCATTTTACTCTTTGGACACATTCTGATAATGTTAAACCTTTAATTTAAAATATTAACATACTTTAGTTCCTACATAGAAGTCTATTTTCCACTCTTGGAAAAAAAATTGAACTTGAGATCATGGTCTACATTCAGAGAATGTTTTACTGCTTGATTACATTTCTTGGTGTCACATTTAAGACTTTATAAGAAGTAAATTATGTAGTCTTCAACTTAAGAATAGATGAGTGCAGGAACATCATGTTGGGGAAAATAAAGGGACCCCAAACTAAAAACCAGAACAAATCAAACACAAATAGTTGCACAGCTCTAGAGAACTTAATAAAAAGTAAATCAACTTTTAAATCAGTTAACTTTGGCGTCTGAATACAAAATGTTCATCAGTATTACCTACGTAGATGACTATTAAGGGATGTGCAGCATTTTCAAAATCCCTGTGTGTCCTTTAAATTGCATGTTTGGTACACTGAGTTCTGTGGCAACTGTCCTCTCTTCAGCAGGATTTTTTTTCCTGTATGATTGTCCATCTCTGCATTACTGAGTCTCACAGAACTTAGATTTCTGGCTGAGTGTGCCTATATTTTTTTGTTTTTGTTTTTTCCAGAGACAGATCCTCATATCCTCTTGGTTTTTCAAGCATCTTGAAGACAAGGAAACCTGTGTTAAAAGTGGATACATTTAGTTTAAGCAGTGGTCCATAATAGTACTACAAATCAAAATACAACATCCATTTCCCCATGAACATTGCTTTAGACTGTAAATTTTCATATACTTAGTATTCTAAAAACTCATAAAATTAGTGTTCTGCAACATGGAGGCTCTAGCTCCTTCCGAAACAATTCTAAGACTGGCTAAAATAGTCTGCCTTCATGTAAAACACAATGTTTTATATCATTTTTGCAAGTCTTCTTATAAAAAGCTTTTCATATATATGGAGATAACAATTAATTTTTTTCAAAGCTAAAAATGCTGTTTCATTCACTTCACGGAATATGAAAAAAAAGCAATACTCAAGTGAGATTTTCATTCAATTCACTAAACATTTTCAGATAATGCAGAATCATGAATAAGCTACAACAGTGCAAAACAAATTCTGTATTTGGTTTAAAATTTGATTCAGGTTTTTTTTTTTGCCTACTATATATAGATAGGCATTGCTATTATACGCTGAGGAAACAAAACTGAAAGATTAAATTGCCTAACACAATCTCTGGAACACACACACACATCTCAGTGAATAAATGAGTGAATAAAAATGGTGGCTGAGAATGTATAACTTAGGTTATAATTTAAAAAACAAATAAAACAAAAAGGGAGAGTTACCTATAAAACAAGAAGCTGATGCTTACTTAATCTGAAGGGTGCTCAGGGCAAGATCTATTTACTTCAAACCATTCATCTATGCAGCTAGAAAAGAACAAAACCAGAAAAACCGAAACACTTGTTTATTTAGATCATGACAGCCATAATAAAAATGCTTACTTCCTGACATTAATATATTTTTGCAGAAAGAAATAAATATTTTAAATGATATTTGGCAAATATAAGTAAAGGACAAGAAAATATTCATTACATTTTGATCATTCTAAGCAGTTAAGGAAATAAATCTTTCCAAAATTATGCTATAAAGTACTTTAAAGTTTAAACAGGGCAACCATTTCCAAAAGAGAATCTAAAGAACCACCACTTTACCAATATTCAAAATTAAATGACAAATCTGGACAGATATTTCTCTCTTTAAAACACTTGTTCATTTATGCAAATGTCAACCAGTTCATGCCACCTATCAAGCTTTTAAATTTTGATTCTCAACAATAGTGTGTTACATTTTAAAAGACCATATCTATATGTGATGTGAGTACTGAGTATTTCTACCCCATCCTGCAATACATATACATATACAAATAAATACACCATCATCTATTTGTATTCGTAAGTATTTCATGATTTCATAAGAAGTTAATTAGGGTGCATATCTAATTATCCTCATTAAAGATCCACTCTCCAATGCAGTAAGCCACGTGGCTCTTTAAATTTAAATTCATTAAAATTAAAGAAAAGAAAAATGTAGTTCCTCAGTCGCACTAGCAACACTTCAAGCGCTCAACAACCACATGGCTGGTGGCTACTCTACTAGACAGCACAGGTATAAAACACTTCTATCACTGCACGAAGTTCTACCGATAAACTCAAGTCCTTAAGAAGTTTAAGTAACTTGCCCAATGGCTAGGAAGTTACCCAAGCAGGATTTAAACTGTTCAACATTCTAATTGTTGACACATGTCAAATTTGCATAAGCTACAAAGCCAGAAGGCTTGGGTAATATTTTGAAGGGCAAAATTAATATGTGTTATTCTCACAGTAAAAATCACGGATAAAATTAAAAGGAAAAAAGACATCCAAAAGACATTCTTACAAAAACCTAAAACAATTTCTGTTGCCATTAAGACTTTTGCTATCTAATAAACATGCTCAATTCAATTTATGTTTTCAGCCTGCTCTCTATCCTACTCATGCAGCTCTAGAGGCCCCCTGGTCTACCAGAGTACCTCTCAACAACGAAGTACCGAGAACTAACAAAATACTCCAGATGTGTTAAAAATTCCCAGTACATCTGAATTGTACCTGTGTGATCTAAAATGGGTACTTATTTTACAACTATGCGATTTCAGCTCATCTTGACAAAGTAACCTTAATTTAAAATCCAGGTTCTTCGCACATAAATTGCTATCAACCCACATTATTTAACATATATTCCCCTCTCCAAACTCCAGCAGGAAATCACTCTCCTGCATTTAGTACTTTTCATTCTTAGGCAATTCCTTACTCTATAGCCTTATATGCGTGTATTCCAAAACAACATACAATACTGGTTTCATGTTTTAAATTTTATTTCAACACTACCTTTGTGGCATGCTTTCTTCTAATGGCATTTTTTTCAGTCAATTTGTTTGAGTTTTGCAACTGTTAATATATAAGGCTCTAGTTTTCACATTTTCATTGTATAAAGTGTTTCATCATATAAGCATACTGCAATTTATTCATTCTTTTACTGATGGACACTTTCAGCAATGCTATAAACATTCTTTTACATCTCTTAAGCCGTGCTCCTCAAAGCATGGTCCACACAGTGCTAATCCACGAACTATTTGTTAACCAGTCCTCCAAACACACTGTTTTGATTGACTTTTTATTTTTAATCAATGCAAGACTTTCTCAGTGAAGACAGCATTGTATTGATTTACATTCTGGTGTAAGTTTCTTTATCTCACCCCGAATCTGCACACTGAGTAGTAGGCAGTAGCAGTGTCCTGGATCACAAGATCGAGTCTCTCCAGGGCATACACCTGGGAGTGAAATTACTAAATTGCAGGATCTGTATCACACAGAGCTATTATTACAGAGCTACCTGTCAAGTATATCAACTTATATTTGTTTGTTTACTGGACATTTGGGGTTCCTTTTTATGAACTGTTAACAATTTTTGCCTATTTTTCTATTTTGATTTGTCTTTTTCTTACAGATCTGTAAAAAGTTATTATTCCGATATTTCAGCTATAAAATACATGTTTTTGATGAACTTTGTTTTCTACAAACTTACGAGAAAAAAACAGGTTAAAGTAAGACCAAACAATACATTGTAACCAGAACAAAGATGTGTTCATCCCAAATAAACAAAATACCTCTGCAAATACAGGATTTTTTTCTTAAGGGTGAGGTTAGCTTGGCATAAAGAGTAAGAATGGATTGATACACTGGGTTATGAAGACAAAAGCCAATGCACAAAATCTGAGAACTATGAAGTAAATAAGTACTTCCAAAATAAATCCCAAAGCTTAACTGAACGGAGCGTGAGAACATTCGATGTGTGGGTATCCTTATAGTACCGTATTCTTCCATGGCTTGCTTTCATATCTGCTTTTATTTGATGAAGCAAAACATCAATGTGCTAAAGAATATAATATTTTATGTATGAACCAGTAAGATCAAGTCATTATATTGTCATCATTCTACCATTTACCAATAGAAATGAGCTAACTGCATTGCAGAAAGTTGCTGAAGGAGAGTACTATTTCAGACATCAAACTTTTATTGTTATGTGTATTGAAAAACACTCGCAGTCTGAAGACTGATTTACTTTTTCACATATCATGATGCAAAAAAGTTTTAAATTTCAAAATATTCCTATTTATCAACTTTTAAGCTTTTATGGGGAGAGTTATCTTAGCCCTCAAAATAATTCCTTACTATGAGGTTAAGATCATTTCTTTATATTCTTTCCAACTCTTTAGATTTGGTTTCCATAGGCAGACATAATTCAATATGGAATCAATTCTTATTTCAAATGTAAAATAAGGATTCATTATTTTTTCATATAAATAACCAACTGATCCCAGTACCGTTCACTGAGTAATTCATTCTTATCTTTACTACACTGTAATACCACCTCTGGTAAACTAATTTTTTCATTTATTCAATTAGTTAAACAACACTTACATAGCATCTATTATGTGCCAGAACTTTCTAAAAATACCTCATTTAAAAACTCCTAACAACGCTATGAAGTTGGTACTACTGTCTTATTTTACAGAATGAGAGAGAGAAAAATTAAGTAACTTGAGTGAGATCACACAGTGAACTAGGGGAGGGGCTGGATTTGAATCTTCGGAGTCCTGACTTCCAAAAGTCCGCGCTCGTAGCCTTTTGTGCTGTGCTATCTCCCCATATATGCATGAGTGTTTACTGACTCTTCTGTCCCACTGACCTGCCTATATACTTTCCACACTGTTCTATCTAATAGTCTTATTACGAATTTGTATAGGACGAGTTCCCCGCAGTATGGCTTTCTTGCTTCATGAGTGTCTTGACTGCTCCTAGCCCTTTGTTCTTTGTCCATTTGTATTTTAGAGTCAATTTAAGTTACATGAAAAAAATTGTTGAGATTTGATTTGAATAGTATATGGGGTGCAGTGACATCTTTATGACACCAAGTTTTCCTATCCACAAAATATGCCTCCATATTTATTTTAGACCTTCTATTATAAATTTCAATAAACTTTTAAAGTCTTGAATATCCTTTGTAGAGTTTATTCTTAATGTACCGTATTCCTGTTGTAGTTTCTGTTGCTGTTAATGTTACTATTCCAAAAGAAAAGTTATCTATATTTTTTCTTACTGGGATGAATGAAATGAATGAAACAGATTTTCATATACTGAGCTTGTATCTGGCAACCCTGTTGAATTCTTATTAATTTTAATACATTATGTGATATTTATTCTTTGCTTTTATTTTTAAATTACTACTAACAATAAGTAGAGAATTTTACTGAAAGTTTTCTCACATTTAGTAAGTTAATATGGTCTTTCTTCTTTGTTAAGGTGGTAAATTACAAATTTTCTAACCTTACAGTGCCTTTGCATTCCTAGTATAAATCCAATTTGGTTAAGAGGCATTATTTTAGATATATATTGATGAATTTGGTTTGCTAATATGTTTTTGGACTTTTGCATTTATGTTCATAAATAAGAGTGCCTTCTAATTTTCTTTCTTATACTATTCTTGTCTGATATAGGTATCAAGTTTATACCATTCTCATAAAATAAATGGGAGAACCTTCCATCTTCTACTTTTGGGGGGAATTTATGATTGTTAACATTGTGTTCTTTAGAACTTGCTGTCAAACTGTTGTTGTAGGCCTGTATGTAGGTTTTTGGTTTGGTTTTTTAAAAAATATTTGCTGTTTTTCAGAGTTAGCCTTAATAACTGCTTATGACAGTTATGAGTCAATGCAGGTTTCCTTATTTCTTTCTGAATCATTTTTGGCAATACTACATTTTTAAGGAAACTGCTTGTTTTGTTTACATTTTTAAACTGAAAAGTATAAAATTTTTCACAGATTTTGATTATTTTTAATTTCTGCCATATCTAAAGTTATATGTAACTTTTCATTCCTATATTGTTTATTTTTCCCTTCTAGAGACAGTCCTGCCAGAGGCTTATCTATTTTATTACTCTCTTCAAAAAATCAACTTTTCATTTTGTGGTCTTTCCTGTGAATTTTTTTTTCCATTTTTTTCTTCTCTGATCTTTATTATTTTCTTCCTTTTATTTTCTTTGTGTTTATTCTGCTATCATTGTTGTAATTTAAGTAAGAACTTAACTTACTGACTTTCAGTCTTTCCACACTAACACAAACCTTGTGAGGATCATTCTAGGAAAAATGTCAAAAAGGTTTTCACTATTATTCAGTTCAGAGTATTCTCTAAGTTCCATTATGATTTCTTCTATGATCCACGAGTTACTTAAAAGTATAGGTGAACATTACTTATCTTTTGTCACTGACATCTAACAGTGCTCAAGGAACAGCCTTCCATATGGTACCAACTCTTTGTAGTTTGCTAAGACTTTTCCTATGGCCTACTGTATGACCAATTTCTGTAATACTTCCACGTACTTAAAAAGAAAATGTACTCTCTAATTGCTCAGTGCAGATACACACACATGTCCATTAGGTCAAAACTGTTAACTATATCATTCAATTTTTCTAGATCTTAAATCATTCTGTGTATGTCTGCTTTACTCAACAAGAAATGTGTTAAAATTTCTCATCACAATGGATCTGTCAATTTTTCTGACAGGTCTATAAATATTTTACTTTGATATTATGTCCTTTGGTACACCCAGAATTCAATTTTATATGCTTTCATCATCATATACTAGTAATACTTTCTGCAAAAAAATTAATTTTGGCTGACATTAATGTAGCTCTGTCAGTTTTCTTTTTGTTAATATTTGCCCAAATATAGTTTTCTATCCCTTTAGTTTCGTATTTTTCTATACCTGCTATGTTTAAGTGTGTTGCTCATCAACAGCACATCCCACTCTTTTGCTTTGTTTTCAACTGGGGAGTTTGATCTATTTGGATTTACTATAATTACTGATACTAAATTTATTTTTGCTTCTGTTTTTGTACTATTTACTGTTTTTTCTATATTTTTTCCCTTACTCCCATTATGCTTTTAAATAAAATTCCACCATATTCCTTTTATTGCTTTTAAAGTTATAGCATTCTGTTCTTTTTATAGGATACCTTAAATTATCTTTATACCTAAAAATGTTCCTGTGTTGCTCTGAAATCAAGAACACTTTATGAGAAATCAAATGGGCTTTGCAGCCAAGCAAACATGGCTGATATTTCAGCTCTTCCATTTACTACTAGCCATGTGAACTTGGAGAGATTTCCTATGGTCCCCCAGCTTATTTCCTCAACTGTAAAATGAGATTGTTACAAGGCTTACATGAGGTAACCTATTTAAGAAGCTATGGACAACACCTGAGTCATGGTAAATGCTTAACAAATGGTAGATTTTGGGATACAAACAGATGTGGGCTTAAATTTTAGTACTAGCATGCAAAAAAAGTCACTATTTTTTTTTTTTTAAGAAATGAGAAAAAGGACATTCAATGAAGAAGAAATCTTTTCAGCCCTAACTACAATGTTTGAAACTTTGAGAAAGATCTTTTATAGTCTAATATCAACTTGGTTAACATAAAAATAAACTTACCCTTTATGATATATGCATAGACAAGGCAGTCGTGCTATAGTATCTCCCTGCTGCAATTCTTCAAGGCATATTGCACATTCCCCAGCATCTTTGCTCAGTACATCCTCTGAGGAAAGAGAAAATAAATTTAGGACAATAGAACTGAAAGAATTTTGTGAATAATTTATACAGAGTGGTGACTGGCATATTTTGTTAGAATTACATAAAACTCGGCACCTATATTTGAAATACTACTACTCATAAATCAATGAATGTTTACCTTTATTTATGGACAGTGTCTTTCATGTCCATTTAGATTTCACTAAGGCATTATAGTAATTAAGAGCAGTACAGAATCCTCCAACTTGCAAAGAACTATGCTTTATTGGTAAGTCAGTTACTTGTAATTAGTAATTCATTTTCCTTCTCCTACTAATCAGTATTAATCTGGTGCCTGAGCTAGGTCAAAAAAGTTTACAGAGTATACTGTGGGTGAAAAAACATCAAAATATTATTACAATTTTTAAAAATCCAAAATCACAAAATTGCATAAAGTAAAGAAATCACCCTAAATATAGAACTTTTAAAAAATCTGCTTAATCAAAGAAAATGCAAAGGTAGATCAAAACTTTTGTGCAGATTCTGAAAGGAATTTTTGGACTCTTGAGGATTTCAGACATTAGCCACAACAATTTTTCTTAATCCTTTTCCATGACAATGCCAAGCCTACTCCAGGCAGCAGTTAGAGTAGGTTCCAGAGGGCCTAGCAGGATATTTCTTCCTTACTTTTATTTACTTACTTACTTACTTATTTATTTTTGATGGATTTGGTGATTAGGTCTGGCCATATTGGAGAAAGAATTTTGGTAGCATAATTGGGTTAATTACAGAGGAAGAAAAAGAATTGTGAGGGCAGAAAATGTACATTACCCTTTGGATAAACTGGGAATAAAAATGGAGGAAAAAAGAGTATTTGTATAAGAAAGATTTTAATGAAGATAATTAAGCAAAGAGTAGTAAACAGAAGAGAGATAACTGAACAAAAATCTTCAGAGATGGGATGAGATGACAAGGTTGGTCTTGCAATATAGGAGAAGTAGTGGATAAAATCTGGAATAATTACTGTGAGAAATGATATAGGAGGCAATGAGGATATGCATAAGGATTCCTGCAAGATATTTTAAACACCCTATGGTGAAATCCTTTATAAAGCAAAACTTCCTACTGGGAGGAAAAAAGGTTCTCTCAATTTATGTTTTATACTAAAAATTTAATTTAAATTATATTTTATTTATGTTAAGTTTTTAAATTTTAAAAGGATCTTGCCCAAATAGAGCATGTTAGCCAGTCATGCTTTGCGACTCTTTTTAAATGAAGAATAACTAAAACATGCCATTACTGAAAAGCATGGAGAAACCGTTGAAGAGTTACACTCTCAGCAAGTTCAGAGAACGTAAAGCAAAAGCAGGAACATGCAATACAAATGTATAACACCAATAAGTAAATTACTGTTATGGAAATAAAAATCAAACAAACTAAAGGGGAAAGACTGAATGAATCCCTACCTAAATGTTTAAACACAGAACAAAGTAGAAAAGTTTCCTGAAATTAAGCATTTGTCTGGTAGTCCCATACCACCTATAAAAACCAGCAAGTTTAATTATGCACATATCTGTAATAATTCCTTGTAGAAAAATCCACTCTATAAGCAGCTCTCCTTTAGTTATTCATTTTGAGACAGCACATTAAGAGGAAACAGATTCTATTTGGTCTATAGAAGGGAAAATACCAGCAGATGATCACTTATAAGGCTAGAGGGGGTAACAGGGCAACTTCCACAGAAAAAGGAAAGGCCTTGGCAAGAATGTTCATGCTTTTAGAATCTAAGGAATATGGCTGAGGCAATTTTAGCTAACTATTGGATAGTTCATAAGCTAACATATCATATCAAAGACTTAACCAGAAGAAGATTTCTGGGCAAGAAGAGCTTGGTAAATGGAAAATGCTGCTTTATTACCACCCTCCTCATGAGTCATTCCATTTTTCTTTTCTTGACCCTGGAGGTCCCACCCGCTACCCCAACGCCAACCCTAAGTCTTTCCCTCCTCCAACTGATCTCCATTTTTCTCTTACTGTTTTGGATAGCTTTCCAAGACAGGGAACTAGTTTAACGTAAAGCACCTAACTAGTGTTACAGTTAATTGGTATATGGGGATCCATAAAACAGAAGTCTTTCCAGTGGCCCTGATCCCATCACAAATCTATACCTAAAGTCCGCCTGCACTTAAGGGAAACACCTCAATGTCAAGAAGACCTAACATCAATCACAATCCTCCAAGTCAGCTTTAGCTAGTTCATCTTGTCCTAGAAAACAGGACCAGCTAGCCTTGTAAGGAACTCCCCGACCTCCTAGCCAGTCATGGCCTGTTTCCACGGCACCTCTTCTAAGGCCCCATTAAACTCAGTCTTGCCCAAAATCCTCCAGAGATGCTTATGAGGCATAATAGTCCCCTAATCCATGGACTGTCTTCCCCTGAATAATCTTAGGACATCAAACTGATCACTATTTTTTTTTAAGTTTTGTCATTTGACACTAGGATAACAGAAATTAGAACAAAAAGAAAAGCTTCTGAGGGAAACACTAAAATATCATAGTACAGGTCTATAATTCCAAACAATATGGATGTTCTCACCAATCAGATTTTTTTCATTACAAAGATATACCACATCATAACATGAATCTAAGTTCCACAACTAACCTCAAAAATTTAGCCATCACTTTTTATCAAGCTGAAGACATCAATAATTATAAGATGTTCCATTAGTTTTATATTCCACCAAGTAAGAAAAAAATGTTTCTATTAAACTATGATACAAATCAATTTTAGGGCACATCTGATTTTTCATTTCAGAGCTGTTAAAAATTTTTTTTAAAAAGTATCTTAACATTGATGAAATAGGGTATCAAATTTCTACCTTTTGAAGTACATTAACAACATCCAGATTTAAGTCTAAGTGACCCATAAAATCTCAATTACCATAAGTTAATGAGACAGACCAGCTTAAAAAGAAAAAAAACATTGCTACATATTTCTGCCATGTAAGTCTATGTAACAGATTATTCTCAACACTAAATAAAAATAGGTAGAAATCCACTACGTGCAAGCTTCTGAGTGTACTATTCGCAGAAAAATAAGTGTCTTACAATACTTTTATGATGACCTGCAACTCCCTTTCCTTATTGCAGTAAGTTTTAAAATATCTTTGAGTCGGGAAAATCTTAATATCTTGAAAAGCAAAGGTTTTATTCTATTTACAAGAAAATTTATTTACAGCACAACAAAGACAAATCCAATCTGCATATAATTAATAAATGATATATAGTTTAAGAATATAATGATATGCTTTGCAGGTACTAAGTTTAAAAAATCTTTTTAGTTTAATGTAGAATGCCATAGTAAAGTTTACCATTCATTTTAATCAAAAGGTTCCTAAGCCCTAGTAACGAAAAATAAGCAGAACTATATTTTCTATGTTAAGAAAGGTATACAGAATACAAGAACATCCCAAACACATTACTTTCAATGCAGAAGCTGTCCGATATCCACTGTAAATAGCTTCTAGTGAAATGATCTCTGCTCAGAAAATTAAAAACTAATGTTAACATATTACAGCCACTACTCAACTACATTTTGGTAAGCAACTTTGAGTTAAGACAGTTCACCCTCACCACAAAACCTCACAGTTACTGCCTCAAATAACAAATGCTTAATTTTCAAATTTGAAAGTCTTGTTTCCAATAGAATCTGTCTTTGTATGTTTGAAAATATTTTTTATTTTTGAAAATTGGCCATGTAACATGATTAATTTTTGTCTAAGGGTTTGCTAGAATATTCCCCTCTCCTACTCTATGAGGACACTGTCCTTTGATTCACAGGGAACTTTTTAGCTTAGTGATGGGATACATTTAGAGTTAAACAGGGCCTAGAAATACCACTACATCCAGGACAGGGAAGCATCTTTAAGATAGGTGGGAAAAGATTATTAAAAGTCTTCAACCAATCAATTAAAAATATTTATGAAGAAATTATCTACAGGCAATAGGAAGTCAATGCTTTAGGAATGGAATAGCTTGAGGGGCAGACAACTAGCCCAAATTGATATGAGAAAAGCAGAGAAGGGAACATAAACAGATTTAACTACCATAGTTAAATGGCTGGCTAGTCTGGAATCCCCCTCTCCACAAGCACTAACCAATGAAGAGATAAGAGATACTCACGATTGTGAGCAGGAAACTAAACTTGTGTTGCTTTTTCCAAAGTGTCAGTGATGTCCTACCTAACATGTGAAGCACTAAGAGTTATAAATCAGTGTACTGCTTATCAGTCTAATTCTTTTGAGTTATTCATATGGTCTATGTATTAATTTAGAGGTACCGATACAGAAAAAGAAGAATTAAACCGGGAAGAGAGCAATGAGAGATGGGCATCAGAATCACTTGGGTATGCGTTTTGTCTCAATGCAGGAAAAAAAAATTATTTTTTTACATATGCCTGGGCTCCATCCCTAGAAATTCTAAAATATACCCTGCTTCAGAAACACAGCTGCTATCAAGGAAACAGAATGCTGAAGCAGAACAAGCATAAGATTTAAAGTTGCAATATGAATTTCCATTCTCACTATTAGGTACATAACCTCCAAAATGTTGGTCAACCTTGTGAGTTTCCTTTTACTCATTTAATATTAGTAAAATAAAGGTACTCAAATAACACAGAGATGAAATTTTAAAGAATTTTGTGAAAAAGTAAGTTACAAGAGCACTATATAAAATACTAGTTTTTATTAGTATTATCAGAAAAAACTTTATGGACTTCCCCAAGAACAAAGCTGGTCATTTTTCTCTTTTTCTCCCCATTCTGGTATTCTATAGTTGTTTCAGCTTTATACAATGTCATAAATAATCCCATGGCCACCAAAAACTTCTACAGGATACTGCTGACCTCACCAGACTTACTGTAACTGCCAGGCTGGGAACAACTCCATACAAATGACACTGCCTAATTAATTTTTCCATGTTTCTGCTTCATTTTATATTCAAAATTATTACAGATGTCCACTTGTTACAAG